GTGAATTTTACATTTCTTGCGCACATTTTTTTTTTTTTTTTAGATTGCAGCCGGGACGAGCACGATTGCAACGGCGAGGGGAAGGGTTGCAAAGGGTTCCATCGAAATTTGCGATGCACGTTCACACCACAGAAGAACAACCACCCATCGTCATCGAGTATTTCGCACGCTTGCAATTGCGAGAAACACTCGACTCTAAATCTTCTACAGCCTCATCGGGATTGCTGTCGCCAGAATCGTCATTGTTGCCATTCTCACGACCACTGTCATCATCGTTGCGACGAGCACAACAGGTAGGGAGAGATTCATTACATATTCAAACCTATTCTTTAACCTATAAAATAACACACATTTATTTAGAACGAACGTAAATGAAAATTAGAATGAAAATCTTAATTCTTAATCCTTAATATCTGCTTTCCCGAATAGACATTCCTCGAAAGAAAAACGTCTCGCGTCGGACACTTGCCTCTGTTCCTCCAACAACTCGAATAACTTAAAAAGTTGCAATCAAAATGATCACGGTATTATTCGGGAATCGACTTGCAATAACTGTCATGGAAAAGATTCGGAGAAGGTGTTGATGATGCAGGAGCAGAACGACGAGGAAGTGGACGATTCCGTGGCAACGATCAATCACAAGGATTCCTTGTGCATTTTGGTGGAGAAGTACAAGACTAATAAAAAGTGCAGGCACAAGGCGTATTTCAATGGGGGGGTTGAATTCACGGACGAGCGGAAAGATGAATGCGATAAATCATTCAGCTTGGAAACGTGTCAACTCGATGAAAACGTGAAACAAGGAGGGAATAAATATTCGGGCAACGATAATTCTCGTTTTCGGGACAATCGTGCTCCTATTAGGAAACCACCGTGCAGATACGGTGATTGCGGGCAGATGTTCAAGGAAGGGGACACCAATCAATTTAAAAACTTGAAGTCTCGTTTGATAAAAACTGGTAATTATTGTTCAGCGAAAGGTACACCTTGGAGACATACATTTTAAATTCGAGAAAATATCTACATTACTAAGTTTTTGTATTTATATTGTTTTAGTTCACATGTTTATTATATATTCTTTTTTTTTTCATACGCAATTACCTAGTTATAGATGAATTTATAGCATTTTTTTTTATTGACTATTGATTTTTGAGAAAAAGAAAAGAGAGGAAAAAGAAAAAAGACGAAGAAATTCGAGTGGAAGAGGCACAAAAATTATATAATTATATTATTCACGTCTTTATACATAGACGCTTTGTATATGTAAAAAAAAATTTTTCTTAAAAACTGCTATAAATGTTTTCAGCAAAACGAATCTC